CTCGACCAGTCCGTGCGGCAGAGAGCGTCACCTTCTTGTACATGCGTACAGACTTTCTCCTTGTGCTTGCGTACAAGTGTGAGCATAGGATACATTCCGTACTATTGATCTTGAGCATTGAGCGTTACTAGCTCCTAAGTCCGTAGCCGTCTTGGCTCAAGTTCTCAGTGTACGTTTGGGTCGCATCTCTCCAGCTAATGTCGGGTCGTGTTGACACAAGGGAACGACAGGAGGCGCCGGACATCAACAGTACTATAGTTCGCGTTTAGGAATTTCTTCCGTGGTGAGCCTTCGCCTGTATAGTTCTTTAAGGCTCATACACAATCGGTGATATCAGCTCTGAGAAGTGCTGTGTTCATACTTGAACGCAGCAGGCTCGGAAGGTGGAAACGAAAGATGAACGCGGACTTCCGGGGTGACGTCCTTTTCGTGACGCCTATGGCGGGTCACGTCACGACCGAGCGGGACTCACGGAAAAGTGTAGGAGTGATCCGAAAAGTATGGTCACGGAAAAATGTGATGCTTGAAACCCGCACCGTGTGGGTTCCATCTGGCCTGCCGCTCTCACAAGAGAGCATGCTAACTTAGGATTGCAGCGTTCTGCTCTTGAGAACGTCTCTGTGCTGAGGTTGTTCTCGCGTGCGTGCGAGTCGCACGGTGCGACTGCTTTGGTCATCGCCGCCCGAATACAATCCATCAGGCTATGTGTGTGCGTGCCCCGTTGCTCATAGCTAATGCTTTGGAAGCCTCACGAATTGTCCATTATTCTTTTCGATCGAACTTATTGATACATATGACATCGGCATCAGGTATTATCACACTGCTCGATGCATAGCAATATGGCCGCTTATTCGTTGTCTCTCCTCCTCCTCTTCGCAGCAGCGAGAGCTGATCCGCAGCCAGTCGTGCCCTATTTGCCACTGGAGCAACCGGTGCTGCGCTCGCCCAATGACGTGGAATATCGCGCTTACCAACCTGGTGATGACTTGAAACTTGTAAAGAAGGTGCTGCCCGTAAGCTGCCGTAAAACCTCATGCTGGGTCGCGGTTGCAAGTGGAACTCCGGTAGGGCTGGTCTCAAATTCTGATTCTCAACTGCCTTGGTTGGCGAGAAGGATAGACTTGGATTCAACTATCAACTTTGAGACGTTTGACCGTTTGAACCACCCTCCGCGCCGTATTCTTTGCGTTCGCCGCGGATGACTATCATCCGATGATACGTCTCTCAGTGACTGGGATTCCGTCGCCTGTGTCTTGTGCTTGCGTATTCGAATGGAAGAGTACTTTCACCAGCTGAACCATGTTGCGGATGTTGCTTAGAAGTCTTTCTCACAATGAGCTTCCTTTTGAGAGTGCTCAAGGATTGGAAGGCTTCAGGTGTGACCTGAAGCTTTACAAAAACCTCACGACCTTTTTCAAAGACGCCCTAAACCCCAACCGTTTGGAGCCCATTCCATAATGGTCCATTGTCAATGGGCCCCAAAAGGTGGAGGCTTAGTGACCTTGGCCAGAGTTTTGGACTCGGGAACCACTCGAGATTGTCAAGTCTATAACATGATGCAAATAGCATCAGTCATTCAAGTATAATCTGCCTTTCAGACTGTAGTCGGCGTAGTGGAGATGCAAATCCCCGCGAAGTACATACAGAAAAAGGTCAAGGACGCCATCAAAGCCGCGATGTGAGTGGAACTCGTTGTGTTAGAACTTCTCATGTTCTCTGTCATTCCTTTGACGCTCTCTCGCAGGCCGGAGCCGAGCAAGGAGAAACCTAACGGGAAAATCGGTTATATAGAATATGTAGGCAACTTGGAAATTCTCTCGACAGCGGCGAGTAGTTGACGTCAAGGTCTTCAGGTTGCAGTTGCCAAGGGTTGGCGTGGAAAAGGAATTGCGAAAGAGCTCATATCGAAGACTTTCAAAGGAGTATGTCATCCATGACATTATTTATCAACTTGAGTCACTCAAGTTGAGTAGATATAAGTTATAGAAACCTCTTATTCACTCGGGTTTTCTGAATACCACTGAAGCACCATGGGAACTTTGGCGTCGTATATTCCGAGGCAAGGTTCGGAAGCCCCTTGCCCAGGAACCTTTCTCAAATTGATTCAGTTCGATTCTTCCGTATCTCCTCAGATCGGTAGAACTAAGCCGAACGTGGTCGCTATGTATCTGTGGACGACATCACTCAATAAGGAGGCGATCGGCCTCTATAGGAGCTCCAAATTCGTTCAAGTCTTGCGTAAGCTCATTCAGCGCTAGCGAGCTATGGGGTGGTGACGCAATATATGAACAGGCTGTTGAAAAGATTCGGCTGAACGGCTCCCAGGATGTTTCTCTTCGTTTAATCAGCAAGTTCCCGGAAGATTTCAGGAAGATTACTGGGCTTGAACTTCAGGGACGTTCAGTGACTGCGTTCTTTCTGAGCTAAATTCGGGTTAAACACTCAGTTAGGAGTGCACGCCTTCGACAGCTTCATAGGTGATTATTTCTGGCAAATAAATAGAGAGGCTCTATTCATGTGCCCCGTGTGCGTCTCTATCAGAGACGTTCCTGGACTACTCGAAATTCGAGACTCGAATGCTGAGCATTCAATGCTCCCGGGAATATTCCGGAGCTGATGACATCACGTTGTTTTGAACATATTTTGAATGCCGGTGTTGTTTCTGGAATCGGCAGGGATCCTCAAACTTTCGTTCTTAGGTGAACCAGCCTGGATCTACTTTGCCCGCTACGACATGACCTAGCAACCCTACACACCATTGCAGCCGAATCCTTCTTATCTACTACTATCTTCTAAGACGACAAGTATCCCTAAGATCTTAATGTGAAGAAGATTCCTCTTCGCGATCCGATCGCGGCGATCGGCGTGCGGATAACGGCTGCTACCTTTTATCTCACCATGCCAAACCACCAAAAACAGTTAGCTCCGTGATTGGAATGTTTCGGGGATACTATTGACTATTTTCGCCTCCAGAAGGGGCCTTCTTCCGAATGTTCGCACAAAAGATTATGTTCTAGGTTGTGTTGGGTTGTATTTGTCACGGAGTGCTCTAAGTCACCACCCTGTACCCGGTGTGGATGATATGGGAGTGTGGCCAGGATCGGACCTTGAGGATCCACTGGCAAAGCTCGATGGTTGCTCACGAAGCTACGCTAGGCAACTACTTGGCCGGGTCAAGTTGACCCTGATCGTCACAGTACCGTATACATGCAAATGTCGAACGTGGTTTAAGTGGGCAATGGAGCACACTGTCGTTCAGTCACAATCCGGACCGTCTCGTTTATGGGAAGATGAAGAACACCTACAAAAGTCAGAGCCATTGTTTAGTGGTTGAAGTACAATCGATAGGGTAGACGTTGCCGGGGCGAACTGTCTTGATGTGCCGTTTCTAGAGACCCAAGTCGCTATAGCCGCATCCTGGGTCTCCTCCATACTCTCCGAAAGCCGACGGTCACTCAAACTGAGAGTCTCGGGAACAAATGGAAACACAACACATCGTTGATGAAACACATCGTTATCAGTGTAAGAGTAGCGTTGTAGAGATTGTTTTGATGCCAGCGGCATCATGCCACAGCATGTGGCAGTTGATCCAGCCGTGCTGCATCGTAGTTCTCCCAAGCTTGGAATGACTCCAATAGTCTGATCTATAATAGCGTTGCCAGTTATCAAGACAACATCCGCAACTTCTCTCTCGAGCTGCAGAGAGTGCGAGCCATGCTCCGCCTGTAGATTTGCAGCGGGCTTGCTCCACGAGTCTCGATCACGAAGGCTTCCATCGCCGCGTCCATAACAGATTCCATCATCGCACATTACAAGTGCCATGACCGTTGAGACAATTAGCGTGGTTGATGCACTTATCTGCGTACGGAAACAATCGTTGTTATCTG